AAACATGGGTGTTCCCGTACGTTTAACAAAAGATATACTTTTAGTAACTCAAAGGAGAAGAGCCCTAGACGTTAGGCCTAAACCTGAAGCGTTTGCAGGGTATGTTGTGTTTCTTTGTATAAAATTTAGCTGCATTCTAGTTAGCAAAAGCTTCATTGCGAGCTTTAATTTTTTTTTGCAATAGTTTATTGAGACATTATGAAGAATTATCTTTGGTGCAGAAGTATTACATAATTCCTATTATGTAAAGTTTAAAAGAAATATTAGTAATTTATTTTTTTTTTACTTAAAACGAGTTGAGTTTTTGCATGAATTTAATCTTTTTTTTAATAAATGGTAAGCTAAATCAATTTTTTTTAAAATTACTGTAGTAATATTTGGAATATTGACATCTAATTATAAATCGATATTAATGTTGCTGTTACTATGTATGTATATATTGTATCATCTACCAAACTAAAAGGTGAATAAATTTACCCCTGATACGTCTTTTCGTGGAATAAAAATCACACTTGTTTTACTACAGTAAAGTTACATACATTAGTAAATGTTTTGTAATATCTAAAGGTCTTATAGTTTTAGAGCCTATTGAATTACAGTGTTTTATTACTTTTTTAACTTTTAAAATTATACTCAAAACAAATAAAATTCAAGAATATTGGCTAACTCACATTTAGAGCTTAAAATTGTTTAAATGAAATAGTAATTATTTCTTACAACGTTTTGATTTGGTGTCGTGCAGTAAATCCAAACTGCCATTGGTGTGCAATTCTTGGTTTGTTCGTCGGTTTCGGCGATCGTTTTTTTTTTTGTTCTGTTTTTTTAATCTTATCACCTGGTGCAGTATAAACGTGTGCCGAGGCCTAGGCGCGCATGCCGCATACAGTTCCTACAACCCCGTCTCTCGACAGGACAGTGAGTTACAGTCCCTTAGCAGTCATTCCGATGCGCGCACTGAGTCCGATAATATGTCGCTCACCGATAGCTCAGTGTAAGTATAGAAAACAAGACAACGAAACAAACCCATCCTACCCAACGTTGCTCCGCCCACTTTTAAGTAGTGGTGATCAGGATTGAATGGGTTCTAACGTCCTCTAACTTGAAAAACTAACACAGAAAGCAGCGTATTTAATAAGTAGGAAATTTATGGTTTTGTTAACGGTGACAATTTGGAAACTAATTTAATTTACATCAGGCTAATTGGTAATTGTAAAGATGTGAAAATACTTTAAATACTATCTTCTGTCTATTTTGTTAGATCAATACAGGCCTTGTAGATAAAAAAAAAGGATTTGGTAAAGCAGCAATGTGTTGCAAGCAGTAAGTTCCTAATATGTAATCGTTACAGAATTATATTACTGTAATGTTTGACTTTTACTGACAGAGAAAAAATGTTTTTATTAACGTTCAATCTTAAACCGTTTGAGTTATGAAACACACTTAAATGCAGCTTTTTTATGAAGCAAATTTAAACTTATAGACTGAAACAATGATGTCAATTTCACACAATTATTTTAATAACTTCTTAAGGTCGGCTATAAATGGATTACATGATCTAAAGTAATAAGAGTTCAGATTGTCGCTGTTTCTACTAACAGAAATCTCTTTATTTTACTGACCTATCCAGGTACGTTGTCGCACGTTTACATTTGTTATTTCCATAGTATACTCGGAATGTTGGCATGTTTTAAAAATAATTTGAAATAGAAGCTTTGTGCATGTTATTTTAGAAGTATGTTTGCTCCAAATGGTGCTGTACTTGTTTGGTAAAGTATTTAACGATAGATATGTATTTTTGGTCATTATCCAAGTCTATTGAAATAAATAAATCAACATCAAAATGAAAATCTAAAAATAATTTTGACACAGAAACGTCTAATTTTTCTATTTAATTTTACACATTCATTTAATTACTTATTGTTAGAATTTTGAGTTTTAAAATATCTTTTTTTGTGTCTGTAAATTTCTAGCGATGGAAGGTCTGTCCATCGTAGTTCTCGCCGTCAGGCCGCTTTACAGTCGCGACAAATGCAAGAATTGGCCGCGTTAAATCGTGAAACGAACATGCATCAGACGCTAATACCTCGCACGCAACGCTTAGATTCGCGCCAGTACCAGGCCATGGATCCAAAGAAGTACGCGGACATGTTTGCCCCGATGCTTATCGAAAAACTCGAGAAGGTTAAACGTGAACAAGAATCTCAGGAATTACTCAACAGAAAACTCATGGAGGTAGGACTAATGCTTAAGACTTAATTTTTGTGTTGACAATTGACAAGAGTACCACTCAAAATTAACAGTTTTGGTAATAGGGAATCAGGAGTTTCTTAAAAACATCAAAACATAGAGTGTTTGATACAACTTACCTGAAAATTTTAGGTAAAATTTCTAGAAACCGCATTGTTTTCATAATTTTAAAATTAGCTTCAGAAAAACAGGAGGAGAGCATGTTTTTGGCTCAGATTTCTGGCAATGTCTGGAGATGTTCCATAAGAAATATTTTGGGTTCATTGTAAAGTTATAACCAACCGTTAGATACTTCGTCTACTTTTTAAGAATACATTTGGGTACTAATTATTGGGAAATATGTGCGAGCTACGTGATTTCCAGTTGTGCAGTGAATTAATCCATAATTTAACTCTCGTTTCCTTTACTGGTATTAGGGTGATACGCCCTGTTTAGAAGACAAAACTAGAATCAGTAACCTCCAATCCCGCGAATTGGCTAATGCCATTAGGGAAAAACTTCAAGTGGATGATGATAACGACCAAGACATTCTAGATCAGCACGTTTCACGTGTATTTTCCGACTTAACACCCGCCAGATCACCAGGCATTACCAGTCCAAGTAAACCGAGGTACAATTCCATTTTCTTTCATTCTTTCTGAAATTACATTATTTCTGTTTTTGCTCAAATAGATGGACGCAAGAAGTGTATCAGCGACCGCGAAGAAAAGAAAAGGACGGGTTTTCGACCTTTAGCAGTGATTCTGGAAACGTGCATGACTTTCCTGAAGGTCATATGGTCAAGTCAAAGAGTGTACCTGATTATGGTGACGAGAGGGATAGATTTGTCAGAGGAACCAGCAGAAGGTTTGGAAAATTTCCCAGTTTCTTTAAATTATTAACGTTTAAAAATGTTTTACCTTTCTTTAAGATCGTTGTCAAAGAAAACTTTGACCGATTTGACTGATAGTGGAGTCTCTGTGGTATCAGATACACCTCCCGTTACCCACCCCGCCTTGGCAAAGGACAGCAGGGTATTGGCCTGGATAATGGAGTCCGATAAAGGTGGACGTGGAGTTGGCCATACCCACAGTGAAATGTCTGGGAAACATGGCAGGTAAATGTGAATTTATATCTTAAATTTTTAATAAGTAAAATTTAAACTTAAATGTAAAATTCCTGTCTATCGTTATTTTTGAAGTGAAAACTTCTTTAGGCGCGTTTATTGTTGCTATTGAATTACAGTGTTTTATTACTTTTTTAACTTTTAAAATTATACTCAAAACAAATAAAATTCAAGAATATTGGCTAACTCACATTTAGAGCTTAAAATTGTTTAAATGAAATAGTAATTATTTCTTACAACGTTTTGATNTATAAGTGTTTATTTTGTAACTAATATTACTTCACGATACAAAAATAACAATAAATAATTTTATATAACAATATCAGTATTATTGTTAATTCACCGAACTAGTGCATTATATAACACGAATATAATTGCATGTATACATATATTTTAAAATTGGAAAATTAGTTTTCACTCTATCATGTAAACACATGCCATTTTTTATATTTGTCTTAATTATTTTATTTTGTCTTTTTAGGTATCGAAAAACGTATAGTGGTTCCAGGTCTAGCTCGTTAGAGCGTGGTAGCGTTTCAGGTAGTTTAGGGCCCGCTCAACCCTTCGTAGCCGATCCCAGTATGCCTCCCTTGCCTCTCCCAAATACCTCCATTCAACTGGAAGAAGCCCGCAGAAGACTGGAAGATGACGTTCGAACGAGATCACGTCAACGGTGAATAATACCTTCTAACTATAAGAAGATTTTTTATTTATTATTTGCTCTGCATATAACCGTAAAAATATTTATTTGGTTTTTGGTGAATTATTTCTTCAGATGTTCCAATAAGTACTTTCCGGACATGGCGCAAAGCAGTCAGTCGACATTGAGGAAGTCGACGAGAGGTCCGAAGTCTGCAGGTGTAGGTTCAGAGGATGTAACCACCGTGGTGTTTTCGTTTTGTGACGAGCAGTTTCCATACAGAGTCAAAATACCTGGGAGACAAATCACGCTACGCCAATTTAAGGAGTACTTGCCGAAGAAGGGGAATTACAGGTAAGCTTATCACTGCAGTTAGGCTAATTAAAGATAATATTACGTATGTGTATCTACTTACTGAATTTTTATAGAGAAACTACATGTGAACTACATTAAACTTTTTGCGTATTGATGAATTATGCGTTCTGACTTTGAGTTTCTTTAAGGTACTTTTTTAAAACGGAGTGTGAAGATCTGGACAACCAGATTATTCAAGAAGAAGTTAGTAACGATTCTGACATAGTTCCTTTGCTGGAAGGCAAAATAATGGCGCAAGTGAAGCCTATCGACTGAAAAAACTAATCCGTAGTTAAAGAATTAACGACAACGAACGTGTTAAAATGCGGCGCGTAAGCGTAGTAGTAATTTTTCTTTTGAAACTACCTAATCCTTTTACTATCTAATTCTTAAACTTACATTAATTATTTAAGACTCGTGTTTATTAGATTAATTTATTGCTATTATACTGTACTGTTTCGTTTATGTATATATCTATACATAATTATATATATTATATTACACACGAACACTTACACGACGTGATTTATTAATTTTTATTTTGCGATTCCGCAAAAACAACAAAAGGCGCTAACATTAATAAAAATAAATTAATTTTTTACTTATGTACTTCTTAAAGAAGAAGTTAATCTTAATTTACAATTAGTTAACTTAATCGGTTTTTATGTTTTAACAAAGAACTTTAAAAGCACGTCTACCACAATTATGGACACATGCGTACACTGCCGTTTTTTCACGATTCCTTTATCCTATTAATCTTTATCTTCATTTTAATTACACGTTTTTGTGTATATGCCCGCAAGCTTTTCAAATTGAAAAACTGAGTAGGTGATACTGCCCTGTTATATAAACATATGATACATGTGAAATAAAAAAAGCTTGGCAGAAACATAAACCACAATTATATTATTAGATTACCGATCGATTGTTGACAGCAGGTGCAAATCAAGTGCCTTTCGTGCGTCTTTCTTTTTATTTTCTTGTCGTGTTTAGTTTTTCAAAGTTCCTTAATCGGTCATTTTCTTATACGTTTCGATATGGAATACGAATTGTTCATTTGAAGCCACAAACTATGTGTTTCTATTAAAGTGCTCTCATTAAGTACTTATATTTATGGCATCTGAGAACGTCGTACAGTTTTTTGGTTGGAAACAATTTTTAGCAAGCTTATCGAAGATGGCAAGACGGGACGACGCTCTTGCAGGGAACAACGCTTTATGTGGTCAGTTTCGTAACTCCTCGGCTTCTTTCGTCCCGCCGCCAAAATCAACTTATTAAAGATTAGGTTACATCATTTTCACTATTTTGAATACAAATCAATTTTGGATGTTTCATATTTATTTAAAAGTTACATAGCAAATTCAGTTAATTTCGACTTAAATTTCAACCAGGTCAATTGATCGTTATAAATAAAAAATTCAATATCAGAAACAAAGTATATAAAAAATTATTAATCGTTATGAAACATTGTTATTAATATGGCTTCAAATGGATCAGCATTTCATATTTGTCAAACGTTGCTATTATCTCTTTAATTTTTATCGTGTAGTTTATAACACTCTGTATACCTCATTTCTTTTTTTTATATATGAAAAGTATTTTTGCCAACTGATTTTATTAATTATAGAAACTGTAAATTATTTAAGCTAGATGGTATTTTTCTATAGACCAATGTTAATACCATTTTTAAAAGAATGACAAATAATTATTATTTAAATATTTTAGATTCCGTTTTCAAAATATATGAAACGTTTACTTAACATTTTTTTCGATTAATTTTCAGGGGTCATGTCAAAATGAAATATATGATTTTCTTTAGATGTTTTGAATCGAAAATGTACTCTTACAATAGAATAAATAAATATTTAAAGGCAACTGAAATTCGTAAGCAAATACCATGTAATAAAGTTCTTAATAATTTTGACTTAAAAATATTTCAAAACATTTACTGAAAAAGTGTGCAAGTTGATGTAAATATGACCCTTTCGTTAATTGTTAATTTTGTAGATATTTTCTATTTATAGTTGTTTTCAGATCATTATTTTTTTATAGAGTATTTTTTCATTATCATACACATTTCAGTATTTTAGTATAACTTTTCGTTATAGTTTTCGGATGGAAAGAAGAAAATGTGCCATTAACAGACGCGTTTTCCTCGTCACTTAAAAAGAGCAGTACAGACCAAAATGTCAGAAAAGTACAAGCAAAAGGAATTCAGGATTTACCATTTTTCGTTTTAATCTTGTTTTCTGACATTTTTGGTTTACTACTTTGAAAGTAACTTAATAAGCATACACTTAATTTGTTCATCAGATTGTTTGTACATTGTACCTCGTTTTCTTTTACGGAAAATGTTTTGTTTTGTCCTAAGTATTTTGCAAATAAAATGAAAATCAAGATGACCGTTTTATTTAAAGTTTTTACTAGTAATAAGTGATGTGTGTTCAATTCAGTTTAGTGTCAAAACTGGTCATGATTCGAGTAGTTGTAATTATCGCACCGAAGTAGAAGAAAAGTAGTTTCATTTAATCTTTCTACTATTTTTAACTGTCCAAACAAGGATATTTGAAAAAGTGTAATTTTGATGTATAATTATTAGTGTTTACTTACAGATCAACAAAACTCACCTTGAATATTTACGGGGCATTCTCTAAGGACAGGTAATACAATTAAACACATACTTGAACACACTATTAATCTTATAGACTTGCCATTTAAAAACAGCGTAATCAGATGTATATTTTAATTATTATAAGGTAAGATTTAATTATTCTAATACACCATATTAGATATTTAACATGGTCAGTTTAGATGTTGACAGAACTGAAAGCTTAAAAGTTTGGCATAACACTAATATTTTTTAATTTTTCAGTTAATTATAGTATCGATAATTAAAATTTCATAATTTGAAAATGTGGTCATATTGACTTTACTTACCGCTATTATAGTATATCGGTGACGCAAACTCAAAAGATTTTACTCATCCAAAACGCGCAAAACGTACATTGAAGTATATTCAGTGTATTAGTATATATATATGCGTATACGTGTATGGAAACGGCTGCGCGTGCGCTAGTCTGCTGCAACATGTCTTAGCATCAGTAATATGTCGGTGTTTCCCCTACCAAAAATCGCTTAACGCGGCTGAAGTTTTTATTTCATAAAAATGTGTAACTAAAAAAACACATTAATGAACATAGAATGTCAATATCTTTGATTTGACATGGACTACATCCAAATTTCTGTTAAGGATACAGCTTCTTAAAGAAGAAGTTAATCTTAATTTACAATTAGTTAACTTAATCGGTTTTTATGTTTTAACAAAGAACTTTAAAAGCACGTCTCTATTAATTTGGGAAAAACTACAATTGCATATAAACATTTTACAATTGTTAAGTTTCTATTTTATGAAATACTAATAGTACATATTTTACTAATATCTATAAAATTGAAAATAGGAACCAACTAAATTATTTATGGTTTGTTTTATTTTGTTATTTTTTTTATTTCTTACTTTACGTTGAAATAATATGTTTAATTAAAGTTTTATATTTACAAGTACTTAACGAAGTAATTATTGTTACAGGTANAACTCCCAATTTGGCTGCCAAAGCCTCTCTAATAATCAGATTGTCTTCTTGCCCAGACTCTACAAAGTAAAATTAAAATTACATTAACTAGAACAATTTACTAAACCATAAAGTGGAAATTACAGGTTTCTAAACGAAGGAAAAGAGTTTTCATGAATGACTACAGTTGATTTTCTTTTTTTAATAAATTAAATTGTTCGCTATTGAGTAGGTCAATAAAATATTAAATGATCTGATTTTATGTTGTTAAAGTAAGATATTAATCACAAGATGATGATTTAAATTTGTAATAAGTACAATAGGTATAGAACAATCACTACCATAAGGATTACTAGAAATTATAAATTATTAAAATATTAAACCAAAATTGTTTGATATTTTCTCATCTTGCTTAGTAAATCTCCATTAATGAAGATAAGAACTATTAATAAATAGTTACAAAACAGCAGATAACAGTAAAATTTCAAAACTCGAAAAGTTCTTTACCTACAGCTAGAATCTCATCAGAATATTTATACCCATTCCATTGTAAATATTCCCTTATCAGATCATTGATTAATTTCGTTTCTTCAGGAATATGGGGTTGTTCGTTTTGGGGTGGACTTTTGTTAAGAATCGATAAAACAGCTGTGCGAAGCTCTGCTTTGTATCTGTCGAGTCTCCCATCATTTTTGAGGGACTCTTTAATTGCTAAATATATAAAACAAACCGAATAAATTTGCTATTATTCTTTTAGTAACCTAATATTATAAGAATAAATATTTAGATACCTTCTAGTAATTCTTCTTCGGTTGATTCAGTCATTTATAAGTAAAAGCATATTATCATGATGTGTGACAGGAAAAACATAATTACGATTGTTTGTAGTGGAACTTCGTCGCATGGATACAAGAAGGATAAGTAAATGTCCATCTACCTATTTAATATATAGTGTTTCGAAATTGCTATAATAAAAGCGTCCTTTTTTGTAAAATTTTGAGACTTATTAACTTATTCAACTGCAAGCTGGTGCAATATAGAGTAATCAATTTTAAATTATTTCCACTATTAATAAATTAATGTCTCCCGATTTTAATCTAAGTTTTACTAGACAACATATTTTTGAAGTATAGTTGTTAGGCTACTAGAGAGAGGTAGTTACACTTATTAAAAACATCAAACTCTATGTGTTTTGTTTGAACAAAATTTAAGTAGGAAAATGCTTTTCATTTACCACAATTAATTTATTTATTTCGCCATGTTATGCTATACATAATATAAAACTACATTAGTACAATTTGATACTATCAGTATACAAAATCTTCCAGCAAGGAGGCACTATATGTCCCTGTACACTGGTGTGATGTAAAGTAATAGAAAGAAGTAAAAAAATTGAAAAGAAAAAACAAAAAATAATAATATTTGGATGAGGGTAATATGAAGAAATGTATAATAGTAGAAAAAATAGTGCATGATTGTATATGTAATTAAGTAGTAGCAGCATATAGGATAATTTATGACATTGGTTGGATGTATTTTACAGACTTACACCAATCTTTCATTAATTTAAATAATTTAATTGCCAAACTTTTCACGTATATATATCATGAAATTGCTCTTTTTACTTTTAAAAATTAAAAAGAACTGTTCAATATTTGTAAGTAAAGACCATTGCTAAATAATTAAAATACATACGAAAAGCTTCGCTATCTTTTAAAGTATGTTTTAGTTTTTGATTTCTTTTAAATGTTCAAATAATTTTTATGGCATATTTCTAAATACTTAAATACTGTTAATAAAAAATTCTAGTAACATAAAGTAATAAAATTATTATATTGTACGTATATATACAAAATAAAATCAGATTAAGAATGATTTGGTACGGATAATACGTGTAACAAACGATTCATGTCAAGGTGGACCATATTCAATGTTTTTCAGTAACCATCTGTGAGTACATTGGGGCAGTTTTCATCAGGGTTCCTTACCAGTTAGAATTATGTACCATATAAAGGGTGTGCTTTTAGGAGCGAGTAAAGTTCAGAATAAAAACGACTCATTTAATCATGTAACAAGGAATGAGAAGGTAGGTATATTGAGTTTTATTGACTTTTTTATTTAAATTTTTGTTAACGACTTTTTAGATTTTACTTTTGTTAGTTCCTGTTTAAAGACTGTTTTAATGAGACCTATAGGTCTCTATGAAGATTTGTTTAAGTTTGTATTTAATCGTAAGAAATGTATCTAAAGAGGTCCTATCTATACAACTTTCAAACGGAACGTATGAATGTAAAATAGTCTAGGAAACATCATCTACATTTTGAAAGACTTGTTCATTGATATGTATGCCACTCAAAATGGTACCTATGAACCGTCATTTTCTATTTTATGGCCGCCATTTTGGTCTAACTTTCAACCATCGCATTACTTACGTTTACACGAATTGATTGTTGATTAAAGTCCATTCAGCCATTAAAATGCTTTCGAAAATATATCTGCATACTCAGATGAGAGTGGAAAACAACCCTTTTTTTGCTGTCGCGTAATTGGATAAAAAAGAATGATCGCTATCCCAGTTACCTTCCTTCATTTTAAATTATGTCATTTTTCGAAATTAGTAAAAATGGTAGTTATATACATTAGTTTACCCTGCTTACTGTTTACAATACTTTTAATGTGTCTCGTCTGTTAAACATGCGATATTAATTCAGCATTAAGCAAAATTAGACCATGTAAATTATTCGTAAAGGTACTTTCACGTGATTCATTGTAACTGGCAAGTGCGTCATTGATTTTGAAATAAAATTACGATGGCCTGTAAACCAAAAAAAGTTGATAAACGGCCGCCGCCTCCGGCCGTAAGGAAAAAACCGCAATACGGTGCTTCCGGTACAAGTACCACTAAGGTTCAAACAAAGAAGAGTGTATGCGAAAAAAAAGCAGCTGCTCCACCAGCTGCACCGAAAGAATTTGAACTGCCGCCACTTAGTATTCCCTTGAAAGTTAAAGAACTGACACAAGGTAATATTGTATTTATATAGGGTTTCTAAATTTTCATAAATTTGGGGTAGTCTTGTACACATGGAAATCACAAAGACGGGAATTTTTAAAATTATGATTTTGGTACCAGTTTTTGAACTGATTGATTTCTAAATGAATTACGGTGCTGGCAATTCAGGAAAAAAATAAAATAGAAAGTATATAATATAAGATGTAGTGCTATATCTAATATATTTTTTCATTGTTTTATTATTTAAGAAGGTCAGGAGTATGTTTCATGCTTTACAAAATGGGTTTGTCACAAACATTAACAAGCAATTCGAGCGTCACTTTAAATCGCTCTATTCTTTCCACTGTTAATTTTAGATTATATGTGCTCTCTTGGAAGTCAATAGTCAGGCATGAAGGTCTAGTCAGAGACATATTAGAGGCAGAAACGCAAGTTAGAAGGGGTAGGGGTAGACCTAGATTAGATTACTGTTCGCAGGGAAGATTAACTCAGGATAGGACAGAGTGGAGGTCCAAATAGTCTTAGGACTGACGACCTTATGATGATGATGATGCTCTCTTGAAGAAAGAAAGATTCGTGTTCTACAAAAATGGTTCTATTCACATTCATCATCATCATCATCACAAGGTCGTCAGTCCTAAGATTGGTTGGACACGTACTTCTTCTCTTTCCTATCCTGCGCTGATTTTCGCATTTACCTAAAGCTAGAGCAACCCCATATCCTTAACTATTTGCGAACAGTAATCTAATCTAGGTCTACCTCTACCCCTCCTAACTCCTGCTTCTGCCTCTAATATGTCTCTGACTAGACCTTCATGCCTGAGAAGGTGTCCTACTAACCTATCTCGCCTATTCCCTATTGACTTCCATAGAGTCCTCTGTTCTCCTATTCTTTCTAATACCTCTTCATTTCTAACCTTTTCTACCCACATTATCCTCATCATTCGCCTATAACCACATTTCGAAGGCTTCTAACCTTTTCTCTTCATATCTAGTTAAATTTTTCGGTGCTATAACAGAAAAGTGAGTAGGTAGGTAGGTACAGTAGGTATGTGTTTTTTAAAATTCATGGATTCGTGGAATTTTGTGAATTTGTAGTTATAAAGGTCTCTGGTATTGAAAAATTGAAAAACCGAGCGGCATGGCCTAGAGGTTTAGACCAATGCTTAGCATTCGGGAGGACGCCGGTTCAATACCGGGTCCGTCTGCCTTGGTCCAAGTTTTTCTGTGATTTCCTTGGATTACTTAGGCAAATGCCGAGGCAGTATTATTCCACAGATAATCTTCATTCTCTTCTGTCTTCATTTCGTCCGTCTCATCATTCTCACCCGAACCACCACCCACCCATTCTCACGATTCCTGAAAGCAGGCTGAAGAGGGTCTTCCGCCCTACCTTCCGGCGTAGTCCGGAGGGACTGCCCGCCCACCAGCATTACTGGCTGGTGGGAATGAAACACCCAAAAGTTTTTTTTTTTAAGATTGAAATACTTTCATCGGATTCATTAGTTTATTGTTGCTTTAGAAGATACAAGCTCTCATAGTGTGACATGTTTTCGTGGTTACTGCTTTACTCCTAATTCCACTGCGTTAAAATTGAATTAAGTCATAATTTCTAACATGTTAATTGTTTATTTTAATTACACATAAATTGATATACATATTCCCCTTTGTTCCCCATGTCTGAAACTATTCTTATTCTAAGGGTTACAGTCGTAACAGAGTAATTTTCTAAATTCAGGATATCCAGACACAACTATACGTCTATAATCCTAAAATCTGTTCAGACTTATAGAATACTACGATTTTTATCAAATATATATGTATACCTAAAAATAGGCAAATTATCGCATAAATCGCATTAAAATTGGATGATTAATTGCAAAATGAATAGAGATTTCTTTCTGGTCTTCTTGGGTGATTTTTCTTATGATACAAGTGACAAATCTGCACACATCGACGTCGAATATATGAAGATTTTTCTTTTTAATTAGCAGGATCCTTGCAGGTTGACCTTGCCCTTGTTAATTCAGTCACAATCTTGATTTTGCATTTTTTAATATGACTAAAACCAAGCCTGCAAAAACTAAAACCTATTTTGCTTTTAAAGACCTTTTTAATGGTTGTGATATGTACTTACAGGTAATCGGTACATGTGGGATTTTTTAAAAATATTTTTGTTCTTCGAAAACTAATGGGTGACTAGATCGTTTTTAATCGGTGTACTTTTTTTGACAACTTATCAAAATTAAAAGTATGGTATTTAATATACATATTAATCTGACTACAGCAATAATTTTGCTTTTAATTTGGTACTATTTTGATGACATAAAACGCTTTTTACGTTCTTCGCGGTAATGGAAAACAAATCCTATTAAAGAAAAAATTGAAAATTATTTAAAAATGAAATATAAAAACAGTAAACTATTTAACTGAAATATAAATACGGACCTATTTAAGGCCAAAAGGAGCTGATAGAATGGAGAAAGAAAACGGCTAGAAGAGTAGTTCCTGAGGGTGAAGACATGAAGAAAATTGCAGAAATTATTAAAACCACAAAAGGACAAAATATAACAGTTCAGGAATTCGTTGGACTAATATCCCCCTATACTGGCGATAAAGGTAATACAGTAAAAGCTCTTTACTCGCGGAGTATACAGAAACCGTGGATATGGAATAGTAGTATGGAATCATAGCAGATACGTACAAAATAAAACCAATATGTATCAGAATAAAATCAATTTATCGCAATTAAAATTAATCGTTAAAATCACCCTTAGACAAATTTAAATCAAAAAAATTAGTGATTTTTTCTTATTTTGAATTAGTCCATTCGGTTACATCTTTTATAAAAGTCGCCTCGGCACGAGCCAACAGTACATACTCACAAGATGCCGATACATTAAGGGGATTCAGTACTGCACGCGCCGTAGAGTAAAAACATGCTTATCGGTTCTAGATATCATGAGTTTAATGTTTGGAACAGTGGTTTTAAATTTTGTAGTAAGATAGATAATGCTTTATTCTAAAGCCTGTCGATGGCCATTTTATATGTTTTTAATTTCTATTGAAAATACGTGTCCTACAAGAAGCATCAACTTTAAGCACTTGTAAAAGCTATTAATGACCGTATTATTAAAAACCGAAAACGTACCGAGTTAGTGTGAACCTTTGTCTGTTACCATACAAAAAATCACATATTTACCTCGCAGCATTAAAACACAATGTTGAGAATAGGAACCCATGTTTTCCGAAAAATTCACACTAGACTCGAGCAGTCTATTGATGTCAATCCCCTTAATAAATGACACCGAATCCTTTTCTGTTTACCGATTGCGTTTGCGAATAATGAAATTTTTAGCCGCAAATTTAGGAAATGGATTACAATTTTTTCACCCGCGAATAAGGAAACCGTGAATAAGGAACTTTTACTGTACTCGAGGTACTATCATGCCACGCCCTTTTAATTTTGCCAAGTTTTTAGGAAATTTCCTAAGAACTGTAATGGATGCTGAACTGGCCAGTTTCAGAAGGATGGCCAAAAAGGTTTATGAAACAATGACTCAGGATGTCAGCGATGTCCTTGCAAACGAACAAATTCAGCTGATGAGTGGCTACAAGGAAAAGCATACCCAATATTCAGATAAAATGATGCGAAGTATAGATGAAATTTTCTACCACGTACCAGATTTCGATTTTGAACGATACTTTAGAGATCCCGGTTATCTTGCATTAGTTCTACCAATTCCGGAGGTAATTGACGCTAGTGTTTTAACAGACCTCTGCTTCCGCTTTCGTGATTACGGAAATTCCGCATACATTTTCACATCCGTTTCCGCGTCTGGTTCCGAATTTTTATAACGGAAGCTTATCGAAACTTAACAAAATGTTGAATAAAATAATTCGAAGTGATCTTTTTGGATCTCATCAGCGCATCGCAGACAGCTCCGACAGAACACAGACGAACTTTTACCTGCTGTCTTAACAGTGCGTCTGTGTTCTGTCGGAGCTGCCTGCGATGCGCTGATGAGATCCAAAAAGATCGAAATCGCGATCCGCGTCTGGCAGATTCAACAGAATGCAGACCACTTCGAATTATTTTATTTGATTATGGTAACGAGCCTATCACGTTTATGTTAGCTACGCCGGGATTCGTTTCAGCAAGGAGATATCCATATATTTAAATGGATATTGTTGGAGCATACGTCATCCCAAAATGTAGCATCGTACTACAGATGGCGTTTACCGCGCCATTTGTGGTATTTTCTAACAAAATGTTATTTATCGTCTTTTTGAAAACTAATATATCGGAACAAAAAGACAAGTCAAAAACTTATTGTATCGGTGTAAATACTTTATTATCGTTTAGGTTTTAATCTGTTTGCTAGTATTTCGTATGTTGATATTTTCCAAATGTTTTTCTATTATTGGTTTCCTACATTAATCTAAAAACGTCCAGGACTTTCAACTCCCCATTAGCCAGTTCTAATAATAACACAGGTCTGCGAAATTTTTTTTTGAAAAGTTTTCTTCTTAAATTGTTAATATTTGTCGTAATTGTCTTAAAAGTAATAGAAAACGATACTCATACGGTTTATACCACGTCACATTAATCCATAAATGCTCAGAGAACACATTTCCATTTGAACCCTTGCACGTAATGAGTGCGACGAAAAAATATTCGATAACCAGTGTTTCTATGTTTTTAACGATGCTCTTTCGATGGTGTTGGTTAAAAATACCTCCGACAATATTAAAGCATGGAAAAATCGAAAATAAACAAAAAAAACGTGATTTTTGAATTGACTTTTTTCTTAAAAAGTAATTTTTTGTTTCCTTACGATTTTTTTATGTGCTTAAAACCTATATAAATCATGTCCTCGATATCTAAACATGAAATAATCACCGTTGGCCAAGTCGAAATACCTTTACAAACTTTCAGACTATATAAAATAAAGTAAAAGACAATATAATGCTCAGTCAGAGAGTATTAAATAGAAACATAAACTATAAAATGAATTTTGTGAAAAAACAAATAAATTTGCCGATTCAAAGAGCTACATATATATACATATATTAATCTACATACAAAAAAAATGTGATACGTTAAAACAAAGTTTATATTTGCAAAATATAGACCAACATTTACATGGTTAAGATAAATTTATACAAAAAACTTTTTTATCGCAGACCTGTGTAATTACAGTTATAGCGTTTATTTATTTTCAATATAATAAATTTTAAGTTTAAAGTGCAATTTTGAAGACAAAAAGAAGTTCCATTTGGGTTTATTTTGTTGATATCAACGATGTAAATGTTAAATGCAAAATTTGTAACAAAATATTCGGAAAAGGGCGCACAACCGTTACATTAAGGAGTCACCTAAAGTCATTACGCTTCCGCATCCGCAAAAATTTACTATTTAATTCAGTTTTCGTTATGACACTTCCGTAGCGCCGCTAACTGACACATAATCTACTCATGTATATTACAAGAGACAATAAAGCGCATCTAGTTGCTTGCCTAATGCTAAAGTAAATACCTACACCTATAAGAGATTTTCTATTTTTTATATTAAGGAAAAGTTATCAGAGTCAGACGATGAAGAAGAAAATATTAGGAAACAGGAAGCTTTCCACAGGATGGAATGGCTGAGAGCTGAAGGTGAACGGTTACAGAATGAAAACAGAAGATTGCAAAAACGATTAAGAGAAGTTAAGAATTTGCAGAAATCAGAACTGGAGAAAGCAGCTGAAACAGAACAAGAGGTTGAAAGAAGACGGTGTGAACTAGTAAATGAAGAAACTCAACTTAAAGACAGGTAGATACAGGCCTGACGCTGGAAGCTGACGGAAATTTTAAAAGGCGTGGATGCGCGGTGGCAAAAGTAGGCAGTTTTAGGTATAACGATTGCAGCCCTCATTCTTCAGTATTCCTATCAGGGGCGTAGATTAAATATTTAAAAATAGGGACCAGTGAGCAAGTAATAGACATATAAACAGAAGAACTAATTGCTGATGGTGACAGTGATAGAGATTCCCATGATGAGAGTGAATGTGAAAACTAACTATAAAACAAAAGCAATAGGTCAATTTTTTCTTTTTGATAAGTCATGTTTACATTATTTTCTAGTACGCTACTGTCCTAACTATATTAATACTATAATTTACGCCTACTGAAAGCTTATTTGTGTATTGGTTCCAAGTGACTTACCCAAATAGGTCAGAAATGGGCATGTACCTGCGCGACCGCTCGCCAGCTTCCTTCGTCAGACCTGTACTTTGATTGAAAATTGCTGAATTAGTTTAAAAAATTTAAATCCCCATTTTTGTTTAACATGGAATTCATAAACATTAAATGTTTTTGGTTAGGCCATAGCTTAACATTCGAAATATTCTTGATAAGGTTATAGCCACTAAATTCGACCAACGAAGACAAATCTTTATATACCTTCTATGTTTGATTCGGTTCCTTTGGAATCATCCCTTTTGGTGCATATAAGACAAACAGCGCTTAGATAGACGTAAAATTATCTAAAGAGAGACAATTTAAAATAATAGTATTAGATTCAAGTGTAGTTAAAAAATCGCTCTTGGTAATAGTTATATGTTAATATATTCAATAAAATTTGGAATATAGGTAAATGCAAAAGAAAAAATCTCAAAATTTCCCCTATAAATTAGATTGGATGACCTGAATCAAACTTTGGAAAAGACTGTGATTTGTGGTGAAACGGTAGCCATGAATATGGATAAGGAGAAACGAAAATGTACTCAAGGAAAAGCAGATAAAAGCAGGAGACCTAAAACGGCAGTTCGGAAGAAACCTCCATGGAATGTAACTGCCGCAAGAGAAGTCGATTTAGAAAGCGCGGAAACTCTTGTAAGTGGTGATAAAGCTAAAATTCCATTGTCTGGTAGCGTATCTTCGCAAGCATCCTTAGCGTCAGTTAAGAAAAAGAAAACTGCTGTTAAAAAGAAGAAATGGGACTTTAGCCGACCAAAAGTACCTCAGGTAACAAAAACTTTTTTTAGTAGTTACTTTACTTATTTACCTAATTGGGGAGCTACAACCTTCTTGACTTTTTCATAAACAAGGGGGTTTTATAATTATCTTCAATAACTTTGACTAAAACCGAATACAGCTAGTCTGTCAAAATAGTTTCGAATTGGGCACCAAACGCAGATGGGGAGGATTAACCACTCCCCACCGCTCTGTAAGAAGGTATACAGCGATGATAAGTAACTGGGTTACTTACTAAGAAAATAAATAGAGCAATTACCATTAGTATTATATTCTGATTTTATATTGGAACGGCTAGCAACAATGGCAACTCAAATAGTATTTAGTGAAAAGTTGGTTGTAAACCATTATAAGTTATCCTTCGGAAAGTAATTTGAAAACGGTGATATTTTGTGGAGGTGTTCCAAAAGAAGCAATAACACAAGGAGGAGTCAACCATGATCACTACAACTTTGCCATACATCCACAACGTAACGGATCGGATAAAAATGGAATTTGGACGATTTTCACACCTACGACGAAGATACGCCAGTTACTATGAAACCCTAAAGACTAACTAAATCCACTACATATACCAGGAGTCTACATAACTCATTGTGGAGATTGTTTGGACAAGATATACGTAGGCATGATGAAACGCACAATTGCAATAAGGAAAAAACGAACACGAAAGACATTTGTGGTTACACCAACCAGACAAATCCGCTTTGACAGAATATTCTTGGAAGGAAAGATACAGGATCTCCTTCGGAGGTAGGCAAGTGTTAGTACACCCGTTAGGCTGTTACAATTTAGCTAGGAGAGAAAATTCACAATATCCGATGGATTAAAGATAAACAGAGCCTGGAAAACACTGCTTAGAAACAAACAAACAAGGGTGCAACCTACAGGAACGAAACATGAGACTATTATAAAAGCACGCCTGAGATCCCATATTAACAATTTAGCCGCCGATTATACTTCGTGAAGTACTGAAGATGCCATTTATTAAGCATGGCGAAACGTCTGAAATCTGATTTCGACCACGGCATAAAAACTCAGAAGCTTCTCATCATCAGTAACACAACCTCCAAACTATGAAAGTGTTTTAAAAAGTGAATTGGAGCACAACCACCCACCAGAACATAATTTAGTTAGACAAATAGTGAGCAATTTCGCTTAAAGAAAAGCTACAATAGATGTGCATACTAAACCATCGAAAGTGATTCACAGTAAATTAAAAGAATCTCTTCATCATTTGCAAGAGTTTGGACTGCATAAGAACGAATATGTACGCGGCAAGAAGAATAATAGTGCCTGTTTTACCATGGAATAAAGCTGAAGTGTGAAATACGCATAAACAATGCTTTGTATTAATTATGCTGCAATAATAACAACAAAAGCTATCATTAATTCAATAACTCAGGGTGCCCAACTCCAAGATTATCCGATATTTGTCAGGTAAAAGTGCCCAACTCGATGATCCCCCACCAAAACACGATTATATAATTAAAATGTTGTTGTTTATTAATCGCAACCAATTTTTGATTTCAAAATAAAATTATACTATAATTTTGACGATTTAAATGTCTATTAATTTGTTAAATTTTTCTAGGAAACTTCTCCCTTCCATTATTCTCCTCCTAGAACTCCTCCAAGTGAATGTCCGAAACCCGGTTTTTCTGGATGGTTCTGAAAAGTTGAATGTAACAATTCCCTCGAAGATAGAAAAACAATACAAAGTGTTTTTTAGTGAGACATTTCTATGTATTTTTTATTCAATTAATAAATTATTTCGTTAATATTTTGGAATATGTACAGTATATTAGATAAAATAATAAAACACGATAGGTAAGTGCAAGAGTCATTACGCTTCC